CCTGGTAATTCTGAGCCATTGATCATATGCAATCCAATTGAATGAGAATATCTTTGAAAGAGAACTTGAATCGGTGATTCTGATGAAAAAAATTTGCAGGTTCAAACCCTGCATCCTCAGCAGATGATATGTCATCATATGCTGAGGATGCAGGGTTTGATTCAGTTTTGGTTCTTTCTCCTGTCCCTTTAAAAGAACAAGGTTCAACCAATATTTTTCAGCTCTAGAAGTTTTTAAAGAGTGGGTATGACATATAGATGGGACTCTGGCATCTGCTGGGGGTTACCTACCACCTACCACAGCACAGCCTTCACACTTTCAGCCCTCAGCCATGTAAGTTGAGGTTCCAGTACTGAACCTTCCTCATAACTGCACCCTCTACCTGCATGACTGGTGGCTTCTGTTGTGCAGGCAATGTTTTGAAGTGTGTCAGGTGCCCCCCAACAGGTGTCAAAGTGCCATCTGTCTTGTGGAGCAGTTAGAGGATCAGACTGCTCTAGTTTGTAAGGTAGAGGGGAATCAACCTCCTTGTGAGCATAGTGGTTCACTGGGGCCGCATGGAAAGAAAAGAAAACTGCACAGAGATAGATTGCAGTCTATTTCAGCATCTCAACCTTAATTCCATTAATTCCATTAATTCAATTTCAGTTTCATTTCAGTTTTATTTTGATACACAGAGGCCACCAATGGTGTACATATCTATCAAATTTCAGAGACCCAGATTTGAGTCTTTCACATTTTGGATTAGGGTCTCCAATCAAGATCCCAATTTCTTCCCCATCTTCCCCCTTTTTTAACTGAATTTCCCCCCTTTTTTTTAACTGAATCATTCTTTCTCAGAAAGGCCTGATGATCCTGAGCATTGATCATGGTCTGAAGATCTCAGCTTGCTTGAATTTCTCCTACATCAATCAAGACTCTTCTGGGGTACTACAAACTGACAGAATTCTCTATGCCCTTATAATTCTTGAAGGGTGGTAAACTTGGTTTTGAAGGACCCTGCAATTTACCCCCTGGGCTGGAGATACCCTCAAGGACAAGCAGAGCAAACCTTGCATCTCTTTCAACATCCTACATACAATAGAAAGGCCAGATTTCGAGTCTGAGGAAGCTTTTCATCTGGACAGAGATACAGAGATGTAACCGCAGAGTAGAGTGTCGTGTGTGTGGTAAACTTGGATTGATCACTTGTTATGCATACAAATCAGGTCACTCCAAAAACAAAAAAAAAAGTTATCTTCCAGATGCATGGATCTTTAAATTTTACAACTTTGAGAAAATTGGATCTAATTGTTCTTAAAATGTATACCACATATGAATCCTTGATTATGAAAATTTAAAAAAAAAAAAAGAGCTTGAAGGGACTTGTTTCTAGATTGATTGCTGGACCTGTTTAGTATGGTACAGCGGCCGATATCAACTCTGATGATATAGAAAGACGAATGGAGCGAAAAAAGAAGGGAACAAACAGGTGAACGACAAAGGGGGGGAAAGGCGGAAGGAGAGAGTCGCGAGTATTGCTAATTTTCTTGATCAAGCAGGAGCCGTTTTTTCAATCTAGATTTCATGAGTCTGAGCAGGATGACGCTTTCCTGATCAGGACAATCGGCCTCGGATTGCATGAGCAGCTTGAGGTTATTCATTTCGATCTGGCTCCGTTTGAGCTCGCGTTCGAGCTGCAAGTTCTGTGCGACCAGCCGCTGTTGGCCCTGATCATCGAGCGAGTCAAACGTGTTGAGATCCAACTGATCCTGATCCTCGTTATTCTCGTTGGATGGTTCCGGCTGTCGTTTTTCGTGTGGATCGGTAGGGATGACTGGGATGCTGTGGCTGGAATCATGTCCGGTTGTTTGGGCAATCAAGTGTTCGAGATCTTGGTCTAGCCTTAATCGTTTTGATCTGCTGCCTTCGATCGTCTGAGTTAAAGGCGAGTCCGACCTGGGTGAATGATGTTGCGTAGAGGTACTTGAACATTCTACTTGTTGATGTTGCTGCTGCTGCTGCTGCTGTTGTTGTTGTGGCGGTGGCAGCAGTTGATCCTGAGGCTGTTGGAGTAGTTGATGAAGCTGCTGATGATGCTGATTGAGTGTCTGCTCTGGTTGACCAATGGCTTGTAAGCGCTGATGTTGGTGTTGTTGATGGACGTCGACGGATAGATCAGGCATCAAAACCTGATGATAATTGAGTTTTTTATTATCCTGTTTCCATTTGGGAGCGTGTCTTAATTTCTTCCAAGCGAGTTCATCTTTGAAGGTGTGACCTCGACTCTGTTCAGAGTAGATCTTTCTTGCAGTGGCCATCCAGTCCTCCGGCGTGCTGTCCTTAGGGGGTGACTTTTCCAGTGCATTGTAGATTGCCGAAAACTTTAGGGTAGATGTATTGAGAGCAGCCCAGCTGGATGAAGGAGAAGCGAAACGATTCCAGAGTACACTACAGATCAGTTTTTTTTTTTCCCCGCACCACTGGATCAGAGCGTGAATGGCTTCTTCAACTTACCGAATTCTGATTTGGTCGTGGTCCCGATGATGGAGCTTGCTATGTTGATTGAAGTCGAGTTCGACGGCTCTAAAGAATGACTCACTGGTTTGGTTGGTGATGAATTCGGGTCGTTGGCTGACCACCAACCACGAGCAGGCCAGTTGTTCCTCCTCCTGTGGCAACCAGTTCGGCGACCTCTTCTTCTTGTTGGAGTCTCCCGTCTTGATATTCTGTATCTTCTGCTGCCCATGCAGCTCGGGGGTCGTACTGCTACTGCCTATCGTGTTTGTAGCCCTGGCGTCGTCCTTGCTCTGGCTAACTCCCTGCTCGAGATTGTTGCCCATCTGGCTGGTCGTCGGTTAAAGATTTGGGTAACTTCTGGGCCCACTCTTATGTAAACTCGATACGGCAACATAACGAATTCGACTCGGGATCTTACTGAAGCGGTAACCAATGCGGACTGCGCATGAACCTTCAGCACATCTTTCTTCAGAGGGAAACTGGCCCAAAAAACATTTATGTATTTAACCACAGCATTCTCTGGAGACTGCATGTGCCACCACATAGACCAGCTCATCATGTCTGAACCTTGAGGAATTTTCTAGCTCATTTAACCATAAAGCCTTAGGATGTTAGTGGGATCATTGGTTTGATGTTTGATGTTTTTTTTTTTTTTTTTTGAAAGTGTGACAATAAAATGCCATTAACATAACAGTAAAAAGTGGAGCAACATATGGAAAGTAATTCCATGATACCTCAAACCTGACTAAGTCCCTCCTTGCCTGGTCATTGAAGACTAAGGTTGAATGTGCGACACTAGTATGATTCCAATCAGCTCATGTATCTACAATTACACCGCACCATGAAAGAAATCCGGGGATAATGAACTACAACATGTTTATAATAGATAGACTAACTATTGGATCTTGATCATGAAACAAGTCGACCATCCACATCTGATCGAGAAAGGATGAAAAGCAGGAGGTATCAAAGTCCCCAAAGGCTGTACGATTCCCAAAAGCTACACGTATCAAAATCGAAGAGAGGGAGGAGAGAGAAGAAGAAGAAGATAAGGTATTGGATGATTGAACCGACTTGGTCATACTGATGCGTGTCTTGTTGCCTGGATCGATTGCTTCGTCTACTTAAGTCAATGCGTATCCGAGAACTTTTAAAGCTAAAGCCTTGATGATCAAAGTTTTTTGATTAGTTTCTAAGCTGGAGAAGACCTCGCAGACCGATTTGCCTTTGGCGTCTCTGATAGCACCCAGTCGATTTCCAGCAAGTGATCCGATCGCTAGACCTGGTAAATTGCCCACAATGAACCCTAGTGTGCCTCCAGATGCGGCGCCTAGGTATTTCCATTTCGTCGTCTTCGTCTCTGCAGTTCGTTCGATCTCTGGTTTTAACAGATCTTCAACTTTTTGTTTTGTTGTGGTTATTATTTGATGTGCACCCATGATTCAGATTTGTCAGTCTTGACTGCGATGAAGATAGTTTAAACAAAAGCCGTAACTTACAAACATCGGCAAAAGTAGCTTCTGGATCAGGTCTAGATTGATTCCCTTGGCCTTGATGGGTTGAACTGTTCGCCGAGCCTTGACTGTTATTGAACAGGAAGTTTTTGAAGAACTGAAAAGGATCGCTGAAGGGGTTATCGGTTGATTGATGATGATGCTCTGAGTTGGAGTTTGACTGTTGCTGAGCTCTGAAGACCTGATCGTATTCTTTTCTTCTGGCCGGATTGGAAAGTATGTAATACGCATCTGCAACTTTTTGGAAATTTTCCTGTGATTAACGCCAAGTAAGATAGAGATTGAGCACATGTCACACACAGGCCGTCAGATTCCATGATTTGACGAGTTTGATGGCCTCCGCTGATCAGGAGGCCAGGAAGAGTGACAGCTGGCCACGTTCACTCACAGTTGCGATACGGCGTTCAGCTTCGCTTAGATTCGGGTTTCGATCCGGATGAGTCAACTTTCATTAAGGTAGCCAAAAAAAAAAATCAATTTTTCTTAGCTTTGCTACTACTCATCGACGCCTGGCCTGCTGGACAGCAAGAAAAGATACAAACTCACCAGAGAGGCCTTCTTGTATGCCGTCCGAATCTCTTCAGCGGTTAAGTTGGGGTCGAATTGGAGTGATAAGACTTCCTGCGAATCCCAAAGTCCAGTTGTCAGCAAATTGATTAAGGTCAAGACATATTTATCTATTCTTCTACGTTGGTGCGTTTTGAGATGGAACAAACCTACGTAATAGTTTGGTATCGCCATTCTTCGTTTTCCTCCAATTTGCTTGCTGTGGTTGGTTGCCGACTGCTCGCCAGCTGTTGAACTGGTGGTTTACCCTTGGAAGGATGAACATGGGCCGGCCCGCAAACTGTCCATCTGGGCCATGCAGGCTGTGCAGGGCGTCTGTCACAAACCAGTCAGTTTCACAGATTTCTGTGCAAAAGATGTCACATGGTCTTCATCTATTGCGTCACTGTGACCTTCATCACCCGCGGGTAACACAAGAATTGCCAGGTGTTGTGCTCATATCCGAGTCCTCCATGAAGAGAGCAGGGCAAATGGCCCTCGACGCGACTCTTTGCACATCGCCCTGCACGATTCGAATTCAGCTCCGGCCTCCCGCTTCCCCAATTATGGGAGCCCTTGCCCAGTCTTTTCTAGCACCGACGTTTGCATGCGACATTGGCGAGACGTTGCCTCTCTAGCTACCGAGCGTGGACCCCTAGTACTTTGAGCGCTGGCTGTTGCGGTACTCATATTGTGTAGACGATTCAAAAGTCAGCGACCCCAGTGAACCAGTGCATACCGAGGTCGGTTCAGTCTGGCAGCGATTTGTTTTGGCGGCTCAGTTGCCGAGTGGTTTACCGGGAAACCGGGATCTTATCTTCCCTAAAGACGGCTCACTGAAGGGGGTCGAAGTCCCTCCGTCGCCTTGTTTGAAGGCTACCGGTAATAATTCATTGCCTGTTGTCGGCTTGTTTGATGGCCACGGAGATCTTAACTCCAAGCGAAACAGATATATAACAAACGACTCATGTCCATGAGGTGCAAAGAACCCACTCATCATCTCCTAAACTGACGCTGTATATATAGTTAAAAAAACCTTCCCATCCTGGCTGCATAAACTGATTTAGAACGCTAAACTTCTAAACCTCTCGGCTCGGACACTTGTATTCTAAACCAAGCCCTCGAAACACTATAACTTCGCTGACCCTAAACCTTCCTGAAAAATATAGCCCAAAAATCCGAACCCACATCTTTCTTGGCTAGCAATTCTTGATCCTGAGAAGGAACTTACCCGCCGATCACGATCCGAATGGAGAGACTTTTAGGGTCATTGTTATGCTTGTTACAATTCGTCTTTTTTGTTGCATCAGAACAGGTGAGTAACTTACCAAGCCCGTTCATCAATGATCATTTCTGCTGTGAAGCACTATTTAACATTCGCACTTTTAGACATTGTGTCTGAATGGCAAGGCGGTAGCTTCTCTGGACGTATCTCACAGAGTTACGCTAATGAATGAGCAAGGAGAACTTTTAAAATCACAAGGAGGGCAATGCTATTGTCAGGAGGCCGCAGATCAGCAAGTATACTTAGCATGTGAAGAGAATCAATGGCCAACTATCGCCCAGCAACCACCAGATAGACCTATGATGTGTGCAAAAGGGAGAAGCGATGAGGGTAAAGCAGTATGTCCAACAGGTTATTCACCGGCTTTTCTTAACTTGGTCAAAGGCTATGATCTGGTCGCAGCCAATCGGGGCACTCAACAGGTATGTTTTATGCGCTACTCAAACAAGATATTGACCCAATCTGGTCATTGGAAACTCTCTTGAGCTGAGGAATGGGCTGGCTCCAGCGGACAACTGACTTGATTCCTATTGACAACATCTACAGGTATCTGTTTGTGACAAGAAAACATTCACGAAAGTCGGCAGTATGGAGGCAGACCTATTTCGAAGATCTTCTGGGGTGGATAACACTTTGTACGCGGACGTGAAAGGCTGTTCTTGCCAGGCCGGTAGCGACAAACAGCTTCAATTCAAATGCAAGCCCTGGCCGACTTCTCTGTCTGTAAGCTACCAAGAAAATGATCCCAATCTGATCTGTGTCAACGGAATTAGTTGTCCCAAACCCAGATAGTTTTCCAGGCACACTCTGTTTTTCAATACCTTTCATGTACCGATTCCCAAATAAATTTGGACCTGGACCCCCAAAGCAATCTTTTTTCCCCTCCGCATATAACAAGCATAAACTGTACTACTGAGAGTTTTAGCGCTCTGTACTTTACTTCAACAAAGGACATAGACACCTTTCAATTCGTTTGTTTTTTCGAGAAAATGGCCAATGAGAATTATAATTTAATGCTTTTCATGAGAACATCTACGGTGTAGTAACCTGAGATTCAGAACAAGAAAGTTGTGCTTTGATAGGTGAGCTGACTGGCCGTTCTCAAGGAGATATATTAATGTCGTTGCATTCTGGTGCCCACCGGCGACTAGAGATAGGGGTTTTGCATGAACTAAATACCAAAGCTTTTGAGCAAACCGACTGTCATCTTTTTTTCAATTACTCAACGGCTTCTCACCACACTTGCCAAGCTTCAACTATTTTTGAGAAGAGTTACCGGCTTTGGCCCACCGAATTCATCTCCATATGTTTAATTATTTGATCAGGAAGTACTAATCATGTTGAGATGGAAAACTAGCGATGATAATGCCTATAGATGTATATGGGAAATCACAAAACCCAATTTTTATGCAGAATGATAGAGAAGTAAACAAAAAATACGAGAGACCAGATATCATTAGAAGCCAAAGACAGAGAGTTTGCAAAAGCGAGAGCCAATAAAATCAAATAAAAGTGAAATGGTGGTCATAGAAATAGTAGGGTCTTTGAAATGCCCATTGAAAATTGACTTGCAACATGACCCCAAAACAAACAAGGGAACAATAAAAATGAAAACGACTACTGCCAATTTGAATGAATGAAAAGATAATGTTGCTACTGCACACGAGAGATCGACGAGTTTCAATTTCCAGTAAGCATCAAGGCCACATATGCCTTGATGATGCAGCAGTGAAAACTCTGGGGGTGCATAACTTATTTGGACTCCGCGGTACGATCTGGGATGGTATGAAACGGTTCCTTCTGCTTTTCAGCAGGAGGGGCCGGTGGAGGAGCCAGTTCACCTTTTTGAGCAGCCTCTCTCGCCACTTTGGTATTAGGAGGCTCATCCGAGGGGTTGAAGGGAACATCCTTGGCTAAAAGTGCGCCTGCTTCACCCTCTGGCGGATGGACCGAACTTTTTCTTCGCTTGACCAAAAAGTTCCACAACTTATTCCAACTAATCTTGATTCTTCTCACCATGCTTTTAAACATGGATACTATTGGATGAAAGAACCCCTTCTTTGGCTGGTCGTTTGCGAACTTCTTGTTCGCCTCTCGGAGCTTTTCTTCCAGAGCTGGGTCCTCTTCATTCCCTTTGGGGGTTGACGGGTTCGAAGGAGTTTCCCCATTATCTCCTTCCTTGTGGGGTTCGGAATGTGGCTCGGCACCAGATTTCTGGCTTTCGTTATGAACAGATTCGTCATTTGGAATTTCTGAGCTCTGGTGAACTGGAGAGACGGTCTAAATATCAGCTCTACAAATTCACAAATTTGGATAGAAAGAATCTCTAATATCTCGAAGTAAGAATATTGGATAATCCTACCATTACTTTGTTTGTTCCTCTCAGCTTCCTGTTGCTGTCTTGCCCTCTCCTGTTCATTTTTCAACGCTTCAAGTCTTTTCTTCTCGGCTTCAACTTGTTCTGTTTTCTTCCTTTCCTCCTCTTCTTTTCTTTTCCTCTCTTTTTCTTCCTTTATTTTGTTTTCCAACTCAAGATGTTTTCTCCTGTCACTTTCGTTTTGAGAAGCTTGTCTTTGCCTCTCAGCTTCTTCTTCTTCCAGTCGCTGTTTTTTCAGCTTTTCCTCTTCCTCGTGTTGTCTTTTTAAATTTTCTTCCTTCTGTTGTTGTATTTTGAGCTTTTCCTCTTCCTCTTCCTCTTTTGTCTTTGGCTTATTTTGATTTGGAGGTGAATCCTGTCCTTGCCTGTTAGATTCTTCTTCCTCTAGGTTTCTATTTGAATTTTGCTGCTCTCTTGCTTTGCGCCTAGCCTGCTTAATTCTCTCAATTTCTTCCCTATTTGTGTCCCGCTCTGAGTTTCTTTGGGGTACTTCCTCGTTGCTCTTTATCGGGGCCGATGATTCCTGTCCTTGCCTGTTAGATTCCTCTTCCTCTGAGTTTCTATTTGAATTTTGCTGCTCTCTTGCTTTTCGCCTAGCCTGCTTAATTTTCTCAATTTTTTCCCTATTTGTGTCCCGCTCTGAGTTTCTTTGGGCTACCTCCTCGTTATTCTGTATTGAGACCAGTTGTCCGCTCTGATGATATTCGTTCCCACTTCCTGTTTTGTCCAAAAATGAACCGTCATTTTCAACAGGCAGACAGAAGAGATGAATTATAAAATAATATGGCCGGAAATATTTTTTGTAACTCACCTTCGGGATGTTGGCTATTGGAATCACTTCCACTCCCCTTCAAATTATCATTTGTATCTTGATCCCCTTTCTCTGCCGAATTACACAAATTATTTTACATGTTAGCACAAGATGAAAATGAGTTGGAGGGAAAAAGAAACTCAAACTGCGGTACAATAGATTAGTAACACAGCTTACTTGGATTTGAAGTTGTAGATCTATCAGTTTGTTGTCCATCTCCATGAGGGGTTGCTGATTAATGTCGATTAGATTTTATATCAACACCTATATTACTGGATTCAAAGCAAAATAATATTTCGATCGACAGACAATGAATTGAAAACTTACCTGTATCTGGAGATCTTCCAACACCTGGGCCAACATTCTGCCCTCCAGCAGCTTCTTGTTGGGCTCTCTCCTCATTGTTCTTTGGTTGATTGGTTTGTTCTCTGGTGGCCTGCTCTCCTCCTTCCTGAGAGCGATCTGGAACTTGCGTGGAGCCTGAAAATTCAAAGGCATTTGAAACCAGGGGGGAAGGGAAGCTTATTTATCAGAATTTCCTGAAGGAATTTAATTTTGCAAGATTGAAAGAAGGCATTTTTTCCGCTTGCCTTTATTTTGGGACGCTCCAGTACCTGTGCCAGCCGTTTCTCTTTCATTGGCTTCTCGTTGGGTATTATCCTTATTGTGTTCTGCTTCAGTTTGTGTTCCGGAGGCCTGTTCTCCTTCCTTGGGGCCACCTGGAGATTGCGTCGAGCCTAAAAGTTCAAGTCCATTTTTAAACAGGCGGGAAGGGGAGTTGGATTATTAGAATTTCTGCCAGGAATTTATTTTTGTTAGATTGGAAGAATATAATTTTCCCGCTTGCCTGTATCTTGAGACGTTCCAGAACTTGGGCCAGCTTTTTCTCTTTCGGCGGTCTCGTGTTGAGCTTTCGCCTCATCGCTCTCCGGTCGATCGATTTGCGCCCCAGAGGCCTTCTCCCCTGTCTCCTGAGAGCCAACTGGAGTTTGCGCAGAGCCTGAAAGTCACAAATCATCCCAAAAAAGAGAGAAGGTAAGGATAAATTAAATCCCAGAATCTTAGGAAGGAAGTGATTTGTGCAAGATTGAAAGAATAAGATTTTCCCGCTTACCCTTGTCTTGAGACATGTCCACACTTGAGCCACCAACGGGACTTTCAGCGGCATCCTGCTGTGTTTTTCCTTTGAATTAACAATAATGGTTAGTAAAATTCCCATGCATTGAAGGTCAAAGACAAATAGGCCGTTGAATTATGATAAAACATCTTACCTGGAGTGGAATTAATCTCGGTTTTTTCTTTATTCTCTGAAGATTTTACGGAGGCATCTTCATGCACTGGATTCTCTGCTTTGGAAAGAACAGCATGTTAAGATTATGTGTCAAGACCAAATTGTGCGTAATTTCAGAGAAAAGGATATTCTGATTGAAAGCAGAATATTTTTCTGCATACCTGCATTGTGAGTGTTTTTTGCATCTGAGTCAACTGGTACTGTTGCTCCTCTACCTGAAGAATTAGGAGTATCTTCAACTTGCGCATTTACTCCATCTTTAGCGTCTTTGGTTTGTGAACTAGCCACAGATGCCTCATGGCCACTTTGACTCTCGGGAGTCGTAGCAACTGCTGCTAAATCACCAAAAGTTTGGACTTAATTTTGAGGCTGAAATACTTCCTTTGAAGGGATATAATAATTGAAATTGAGGATGACATTTTGCAGCTTACTTGGCTGTGTCTCGCCAGTTCTTTCAGCGGTTGGCTCGTTTACCTTTGCAGGGGAAGACTCTACAGTTGACCCCTGAGCATTGGTATTGGTAATCTCCTTGGGGTCTGAAAGTTAAAGTACTAAAAATGAGGAAATTTAATTTGTTGGGTTGAAAAATAGTCGGAGGTAATACCTTTTGTCTCAGGCGCCGGATTGATCGAAGTGCTTGGCACTGGCGTAGGGGGGTTCGGGCCTGCTTGTGAACTGGCTTTGTGTTGAGCTGGGGTCACCGCGGCGCTCTTATCAAGGCTTTCTGGATCCAATTGCACCACTTCAAGCTCTCCAGAGGCTGGAGTGCCCGAAACGCTTGGGTTGACCGGTGGGAGTTGCTCGTGGGCTGTTAGCGCGGCTAGTAAAGTTGAACAAGACTTATGAATTACTAATGGCCAACTGTGAAAATCGAATGGCGGAACTCACGGGTATCTTCATGAGGAAACTCTATGATTGGAACTGAAGCTACTGGACGCGCCGACAATCCCGAGTTTGCGGCTAGATATCCGTTGGGAGTGCGGTTTGAACATATTCTTCAGAACGAGTGCCTACTTCTGGATAAGTTACAAATTAAAAGTCACTCACCTTTTAGCTCTTCAACATGAGCACCTATGTCGTAGTAGCAAATGATGAAAACTCAGCGGAGTCCTTCTCTCTTAACAAGGAAACAGAAACTGATAGGAATCCTTAGCACCAACCTGAACCTAAGCCCTTTTCTGAGGCTGTGAAACATCAACCGGCAGCCAGGAATAAGAAGAAAATCGAATTCTATCCGACAGCATTGTTTGAAGAAACTTCACTTACCCTGCACGCCACCGGCAATGGCACCTTCCATCCTTTTTCTTAGCGCGTGATTTCCAAAAGATAGGGACGTAGCGCCTCCGAATCCTCTTTTCGAAAGGGTTTCCCCCGACGAAAGTGGATGCGCTGAAATTACATGGTGATTCAAAAGGTAAAAAGTGATCAAGAGCTGGGATAAGCCCAACATGACTGTGGGTGAGTTGACTTGGATAGTTATTATGATTCTACTAAGTTTTTCTGGTGGTTGATTCTGATAGGCTGACAGTTAGTTCTCTCGATGGTTCTTTTTTATCGGAAATTATTGGATGATGGAATGAGACTCCAATGCCTCAAGCTCTCAAGGTACTTATCAGGGTATTCGACCTAGCTTGGCGCAAGTTAAGCTCAAAGACACAGTGGGGAATTGCGTTTCATGGTTTGGATCTCACTGTTTCGCACAACTTGTACAAGAACCTCATCACTCTTCAGCCTGACATTTGTTGACGGTATCAAGCACAGGAAAACCAAGCTGTCGCAAGACTAATCAAACCGTGAAGCCCGACTCCTTCGCTCAATCATCGAATTGAAGAAAGTATGCCCGCTTAATCGTTTCTGACATGGAATTTGGAAACCTGTATTGACTGAAAATAGCAGCTGTAGGATTCGACCCGCTCAAGCTTCACTTCCTCACGCAGGTTTAACTTCAAGGAAGAAAGCGGGTTATGTACCAGGTCCCATTTGTATTAACGAAGCCTCTAGTGACACCGAGAGCGTTGTGCGACTGACGAGTGCTACAAGTAAAAGGCGAACAAGCAGGCAGATCCTCTGTGCGATGCCTAGAAGTTTTACCGAAAAACATGACAGAGGTCCTCTTCCATCCAAGAAGCTTGGCAGCTCCAGAGGGATCCAATCTTGCCCAGACCGCTCCACGGCAACTTTGCGCAGCGGTGGACCACCCAAATGACAAGAAAATCTGACAAGTCACATCGGGGGAAATGAAAATGATAACGCTTGAATGTGCTTGATCGATCTCGCTTTTAACTTTCCAAAGGGTCGCCCCGGCAGGCAGTTTGTGGGCCAGGACCCCAGATTCCTCATAGTACCGGCCGAACAAAACTCTTGAGACTCGTACTAGGAAAACTTCAACTTCTTGGAAAATAATATTGCTGATACGCAATCACATTCCCCGAACATACAGGGTGCTGAAGTTTGCGGGAAGGAAAAAATTGAATCGAATATCAAGCCAAGACTCGTAATTAGGTTTGGCTTTCTCTAGATAGCCTACGGGTCTTGGTTGCTGTGCAAGGCTAGCGGGCTCTATGGTTTTTTTTGAATTGTTTCTAATTAAAACATTCAAAATTAACCTAAAAAGAGAAAGATTGGAGAACTGCCCGTTGCCATTGAGAGTGCTTTTTAAGCTCTCCTAAGTCCTAACTCCTCACCACAATCATAATTACTGTAGAAGTTTTGAGGTCAAATACTTTATTGCAGCGTATAATCAAATGCTAATAGTAGTAGATAACTGAGAACAAAAGAGAAGAGAAAAGAAATGGAATAAGCAAAGAAACAAGAAATAAAGAAAAGGAAAAAACAATACTTAAAGAGAGAAAGAATGAACTCAATAAGTACCTTTTGTTGTTCTTGTCCTAGCTACGACTCAATTAATAGACACGAGAAATGTTTATAGGAGATAAAAGAATATAACAACAAGCCTGAAATAAGAAATAAAAGATCAATCAACTGGTTCAAAAAGAAATAATAGTGAGAGAAGAAAAGAAGAGAGATAAGGAGAATTGAGAGTCGGATATACCTCCACTTGAGTTATAGCCGTGCTCCTCCTGAATTTCTTTGGTCTAGACGAGTGTGAGGCGGTTCAAGAACGTACAGTTCGGGATTGATCGACGGTTGATTAAGGGAGTTTGTGTTTGACAGTGTGCGATGAAGTTTTTCCAAACTGGGAGTATTGAGTTTGAACTTCTAGACAGCTTTACTTGATGCATATGGTTATGCAACATCATCCGTATCCGTAGTACACCGCAGCATGTCAGGATCACTAGCTAACACTCCTCCTTGATTCTGCATCGGTGAGGTGGAGTTGTTCACGGGAGCTTTCTAGCTTGATGAATCCTAACGGCTTAGTTAAGCCATCCGCTATCATATCATGTGTTGACACTTGTTGCATGATTATTTGCTTTTTATTGACCAGTTGTAGTACATATTGAAATCTCACTTCAATGTGCTTGGTGTTGTCATTGAGTTTGGCTTCCTTGCTGATAATCACGGTGCCAGAATTATCATTCTTCATTATAGGGGCTTTGATTTTAATGTGAAGATTCATAACCAAATTGGTTAGCCATCGGAGTTGTTTGGCGCATCGGTTAATTGCCACAAATTCTGCCTCCGTAGTCGATTGGGCTACAACGGGTTGCTTCTTTGTTGACCAGCAAATTGGATTCCCATACATGGTGATCACATAACCGGAGGTCAAGTTTTTTGTGATTAGGGAAGCACCATAATCCGCGTCTGCCCACCTACAAAGACCATCATCTGGGTCGAGAGTTTGTGTGTAATGAATACCCATCACTGGAGTGCCTCAAAGGTATCTCAATAGATGCTTGACTGCCGACCAGTGAGACTCGTTTGGACTGTTGGTGAACTGAGCTAGTAGGTTCGTAGCAAACGCTATGTCCGGACGGGTATGCAGTGCCAGATAATTCAGCATACCTACAGCTTTCTGATACAGCTTTTGATGAAAAGGCGGGGCATCCGTTGCAAAAATCCTGTGCAAGTTCATTGGCGCTGGCGCTCTGACTGGATTTGAATCGTGCATGTTGAAATCATACAAGATTTTTTGAATAAAGTCGGCTTGATTTACATGCACCGTTCCATCCTCCTTCCAGTCAAGTGTATAGCCGAGGTGTTGAGACGGTTTTTCCTTGACCTTGATTGTGTATACCTTCTTGATACCGTTGAGAAGTGCCAGAACTGCATCCCAATCCTTTCCGACCACGAACCCGTCATCCACATGCATATGAAGAAACACAGATCGGTCCTTGTCATAGAATAATGATTCGTCCAAGGGCAAAGACTCTAGTCCCAGAGCAGTGAGTGTACCAACAAGATGCTTCCGCCATTGACACAGGGCTTGCTTCGTACCATACAGCGACTTGTTAAGTTTCCAGACCCAGTTTTCTTTCCCCGGCTCTTCAAAACCTTCCACTTGCGCCACATAGACAGGAGCATCTATTTCGCCATACAAAAATGCAGTTTCAACGTCAAATTGGAATACATTCCAGGACCGGTTTACAGCCACAGACAACAGCAATTTGAAGGACTCATTACGGGCGACCAAGGCATAAGTGTCGAAATAATGAAGCATATGGACCTGGTGATTTCCAAAGCATACCCACCGAGCCTTGAAAAGAAGTAGTTCACCAAACTCGTTCTTTTTCCGACCAAGAAGCCACATACTGCCAATAACCTTATCATCACCCGGTGGAGGAACCAGGGTGCCAGTATTCTTTGACGCCAGCGAATGGTATTCCTTGGCCATCGCCTCTTTCCAGCCGATATGTTCATCGAGACTAGCAAGAGCTTCTTTGATTGATACCGTTTCAGTGAGGTAAACCGTATCGGGAACATCAAAGTGTAGCAGGAGAAGCTCCTCAGGCAGGTCCGTCACCGCTGGGGGCACCGCAGCAGAGCCAGATGATTTCGCTCCTCGACGACGGGTGCCCGATACAATGTTGCGAGGATCGATGTCACCCACTATTTCCTTAGCAAGCGGCTTGTCAGCTGGGACCATCTCAAAGCGATGTTTGCCTTTCTTGTGGGAAGCGACTGTGGGGCCGAGTCTACTAGATTGGGGGTAGGATTGATAGACAACCGAGACTGATCAGGTGACATAACATGAGGTGAGGGTTGATGAGATTGAACACCGACACCATTGGAGGAATGGGTTTTCATAGGTGTAACAGGCAGAGGCGTTGGATTCAGAATAGGGCTCGGAGTTTGAGATAAAACTTCCTGAGTTGACCGATTGGGTGCTGGATTCATTCAGCGATGGGCAGATACGTTACCCAAATGGATAACGTTGACTGTAACGTAACCTTTACAGTTACGTTAACCACAAGTTACAGATATCTTTATTTCAGTTACGATATCTACTGGAGCAAAAGGCCCCATTTTTTTCTAGTTACGTTCCCGGAAATTCTGAACAAAACAGGGTTACGTTACAGAATTTCCAAGATTTGGATAACTTAAGGGTAACTTTGCTGGAGATACACTGATTCTTGATGGTTTTGTTCATTAGGAGCGAGGTAATTCGCACAATATGATCATAAACCAATCAGTGATTATCATTTCACCAGCAAGCCAGGTCAAAAGATGTCTGGTGTGAGAATTGAACCCACAACGTCCACATATTCAATGCACATGTGACACCACGGACAACTGCCTGTCGCTGCGGCCTGATTCGTCACCTCCCGCTGGTGGCCGCAGTCACTGCGGAGGTGACGAATCGCGCGGGAGCGACATCCGAATGTCCGTGGTGTGAGGCACTCTTTGACCATTAAGCTATATGCAATATGATTTTGCCCTTCAAACTCTCATGACACCCTCCACCCAAGTAAGTTATGTTACCCCAAAAAAATATATGGAAAAAATAAAATTGGTTACGTTACTTTACTTTACAACCAAATTTAGTTACTTTACAAAAACAACAGATTTGGATAACTAAAAAAAAGTTACGTTCTCCAAATCTCCTGCTGTAACGTACCGTAACGTATCTGCCCACCGCTGAAATTTCATTGCCATGTCGGCGGGCTTGATTCTGAATGACACTCTGTCTTTGGAGGATTTGGAAAACAGAGACACTGCTTGAGGCAAGGTGTCTGGAGGTTTAGTGAGAGCAGCCGGAGAGTTGTAGCAAAAAGCCAGTTGGGTTGGCGAATAGTCACGACTGATAACGACATGTCTTTTGGTTGAATCAAAAAATCTGAGTGCATTGGAATGATCTTTGTAACCAAGACATATGAGTGGCTTTGAGGGCGCCACAACTTTTGATGGTGGTTTGTGAGTAACAAAGACTTTTAAACCAAACGGAATTAGTTTGTTGATGTTAGAGATGGGCGGGGATAATCCGTTGCGGATATCCGCTATCCGCTGGCGGATATCCGCTATCCGCTGGCGGATATCCGCTATCCGCTGGCGGATATCCGCTATCCGCTGGCGGATATCCGCCAGGGCCAGCGGATACCCGCCAGGGGATGCGGATTCGGGTGCGGATGTCCTTTCCCCCCCCAAATCCCGGCGGATATCCGGGTATCCCCTGGGATACCCGAGACCAATGGCCGGCTGGAAGGGTTTCCTTCCAGCCGGCAATTCTCTTCGCTCTCCAGGTTCAAACAGGAGAATTGAGAAATTTAACCAAAGCAACCACGCTCATTCGACAGTTAGTACCCACCTATCAAACCTCCATCTGCCTTCCTTCGCGTCTCCAAACTAGAGGGGAAAAAAAAACAATCATTATTCTTCACTGGTTCATGCTGACGACTTTGCTGCATTTTCTTTTCTTAGATTGCCTGCCGTGATTCATTACCTCAATAATTCCGAACCGCCAAGGCTAGGAAAGTGAGCAGAATTGTTCCCCAGACTTCAAAGTCTTTTCTTAATCTCATTGCTCACGCGTGCCCTACTTCCTTCACCAGACACATCGGTTTATATCTTCAATTGTTCCTGCCCAAGTGTGGTATCAGGTTCTGCAAAACTGATCGCTATTTGGTGGGTCAGGTGGCCTCTACGACAGGCTCCCCATCCACCTGCACATCCTCCATCTCGCCCAAGCTCCACTCCCGCCCGCGACACGCGGTGGTCAAGGAGCGTCAGCCCAAGCCTGCCAGTCGACCCAGGAGAAAGCCCCGCTCATTCCCGGCCGCTCTCGACACGCCCTCCGAGCATTCTGGCTCCCTCTCCCCCGTCCCTACCCCTCGCCTCATCCCCAGCCATCGTTCTAATGACAACATCCCCCGCGACATTCAGCCCAAGGACGACCCCGCTTCCTCCGCCAAATCTCCTTCTACCAACGGACATAGACTATTGGTCTCGAGCATCGGCTAATCTTGTCTTTCTCTCATTTCCTCCTGACTTGTTTTCCCTTCTTTCTCATTCCTCTCCGTGCTTCCTTTCCTTTCCTTCATTTGTTTCTTTTTTTTTTGGCAGGGGGGGGATATCAAAGGTCATTTTGTTGTTAGACTTTATGTTTTTTTTTTGTATTTGACTTGTTTATGAGTTAATTATATATACATAAATATTTTGAACGCATTCTTTGAAGACAAACCTGCCGCAATAGAGTATATCTCCAAGTTGACAGGAAGGTTTTCTGGTGTCCTGTGCAAGGGTAGGCACATTCAATTATGTACTAGAGTCACGAACATCAAGTGCCAGAGGTGCAGGAGTGTCGGTATCTTGTTAAGCCCGAGACTAGCAGCTTACTCCTACGGTGTCCTCCAGTGCCTAGTGACCGAGAGGTTATGTACCCGACCGTAAAGGTTGCTCCGCTTTTGAAAGACATCGTCAGTGAGTTGGTAACCGGAAAGGGATCATTACCTGGCCTACCGTCTCAAGAACTCCTCTCGCTCGAGCATATCTGCGTGCACTCCCCCCAGGCTCGATGTCCTTCCTTCCGATACATCGCTCTCCGGCAAACAAAAATGAGGCCAGGGGAGAGGAGTTTCGTCGCAGTGGCTCGGGGTTCATAGCTCTGCCGAAGCTTGCACTTATGTACATAGAATTGCCCAGAGTCAGCTCTGCTCTCACCAGGCGTCATATGCTAGCTCCCGCACCTGACGGCCGAAGTGGTTCTTAACTACCCGCTGGCGAGGTACATGTACCTCGCCAGCTGGAAGGGAAACCTTCCAGCCGGCAAGGTACATGCCTCGCCGGCTGGAAGGCAACCTTTCCAGCCGGCGAGGATGTGCCTCGCCGGCCATTTAGAGGGCGGGTATCCAAGGATATCCGCTCGGATACCCGCTAAGGCGGGGGGATATCCGCCAGGGGATGCGGATGCGGGTGCGGATGCCGCTTTTCCCGGAAAAAGCAACCGGATATCCGCATCCGCGCGGATATCCGGATGCAACGCGACCATCTCTAGTTGATGTCCCAAATAGGTTCAATACACATGTTCAGCTCCGAAAACACCGTGACTGGACTGGACCAATTGAGAGCCTTGGACGGAAGGATATTGATCAGGGTCGAAGCATATCGTGCCGCTTCATCCCAGAAGTTGATAGGTACCAAAGATTGAGCCAAGAGACATCGGACCTTCACCAGTAACGTCTCGTTGAACCGTTCCGCGAGACCATTGGTTTGGGGACTGTTTGCTGGTCCAGCTTCAACACAAATGCCTAATTTTTCCAGTTGAGAGAGAAAATAGGTTGAGTTGAATTCACCACCACAATTGGTATGAATAAGGGCTGGGGACTTACCCGTCTTGTTCGTGATTTCTTTGACATAAGACAGGATTTTCGATTCAGAGTCCGATTGTTCTTCATGAGGTAGATACGATTGAATCGGGAGTAATCATCAATGATGACAAGGATGTACTTCATCAAGGATTTGCTTGGGGGAGATATTTGCAAGACGTCCATGTGAAGAGTCTTGAACAGTTGATCAGTGGTAGGAAGAGGATTTACGTGGGGAGTTTGCTTGAGTTTACACTGCTTGCACACTTTGCAGTATTTAGCCAGCTGCCCAGAGTTTTCTGTTTTGATACCATGCAGATCAAAAAATTTCTTCAGGTATTCATTGGAAGGATGGCCTAAGAGAATATGATAGTCAAGTCGTGGATCTGGATTGGACACATTCAGGACATAATTAACCGTACTTGATCTCGGGACTTGTCCTTGATACAGATTGCCAACTCGAGGGAACTGGTAGATAACCTTTTGACCCAGTCTAACTAACATCAATCGATTCTTTACTACCAAGCGAAGGCCATGGTCCTCGAGTTGCAAGACTGAGATGAGATTTCTAGGACCATTAGGAGCGTAGAAAGCAGGATAGATCATGGTACCATTCATATTGAATTTCCCAACGTGAGTTATCTCAATAGACCCCGAGTAAGTGTTGATTGACTTAAGAATCGGTTGTGGGTCAACAAGCAATTTGAAGTCACATAGCGTAGTTTTTGAAGCTCCAGTATCCAGGATCAGGGTGTTTGGTTGAGGAGCAATGGTAAGACCATTTGCATTGACTTCATCCGTAATCATGAACCCGTCTAGTGAGATATAATCGAGTTCCTCATCATCTTCATCTTCTTCGGCCGCATCCGCATGGTCAGATTCTTCCGTTTCCGCCAGATTCGCTTGATCACTCATGAATTTCTTCATTTGAGCATTGAACATCCTTGCAAACTGGTTGGATACGTTGTCGGGTTGCGTTGGTGTGACTCCTCTAAAACCTCCTTGAGTTGACATGCCTCCTCGATGGTTACCACGAGATGAACTAGCTCCTCAAAACGTTGAAGTTGATGACAATTGATCCGCAGACTTTTTTCCCGATTGTCGAGCTTGATTTGAGTAGTAGGCTGACTCCGTAGCTCCACTTGCTTTTCGAGAATCTTCAATGAGCAGTTGATCATAGATTTTTTCAAAGGTAAACGGTTTCTTGTCGTACAAACTTTGAACCAAGGACGATAAACTGTCGTCTTGATGCAGGCTTCGTAATAAGAGGGCCACTGAAAGACCAGTTGAAATCGTCATGAAGTTGGGATTGGCTTGGATCGACATTTGAAGAGCGGTGAGCGATTTCCGAAAAGTAGTGAGATGTTGAACTAACAATGACCCTGGCAAGTAGGTGCAGTTGATTATGGTGTTGAGCTTATCGCAGAGACTGATGATTGATTTCTCGCCGCAAGCAGCACCTAGAGCATGGATCGCACCATAGATATCGCCATTATGCGCACTGACAACCGGTGTGGAAAGTAAGGCACACCCTCGGAGATTTCTTGTACTTCTCCGCTCCGCAACGCGTCTTACTCCAATTTGTTGTCCGGGGTAACTTGCTTGATGGTCTTGTAGGTAGGTAAAATAACTCTCTTTGTTGTTCTTTGGTAGGTAATACTCTAACTCTATTCTATCTCTAACAATTCTTTAGGCTAATACACGATTCACTCCTAAGTCACTCTGTTTTTTCTGATATGTTCCGAGTCATAAGTTCCCCCCTCTCTCCCCTCTTCTGCCTCGAAATCCACTCCTCCTCAGTTTCCCACGCTCCAGTCCCTTACTACTTCCCGCTCTGTCATCCGCTGTCACCCCCTCGGACTCCGCATGTCACCCCTCCGACGCCTGTCGGTCCAGGTACTCCTCCGGCCGCTTGTAAGCAGGTCTCCCACCGCCGCTTCCGCCTCTGGTCCGCTCCGAACCCCGCTTCCGCCCCTCGGTGCTCCCCGCTCCTTGTAGCCCCTCCGCAGTATACACTGAACCCCCGTTCCGCAGTCGGCCGTGATCCCCGGTGTCCGCCGGTGCCCGGATTCCCCGCATTAAGCTTTTCAGAACCTTGTGCATTTGGTCTACTTTTCCCCGCTTTCCCGCGCCTCGGAAAGCTAGACTTTCCACTAATGCACCGCCGCTTTCCTCCGCCTGCGTGTGTAGCAGCGGTGGGCCGCTATGGGCCCATGTAGCGTTAGCGTAGCGGCGCCAATTTTTTTTTCGTGTAGTGTTAGCGCGCCGCTACGGCCCCTGCGCTACGCTAACTTGTAGCGGCGCTAACACTAGCCATTTTTTGGTGTAGTGTTAGCGCCCCGCTGGCGCCGCTACGCTACAGCGTTTTTAGCGGCAAAAAACACCACAAAACCGCTAAAAACTGCTGTAGCGCAGCGTAGCGGGCGGTTTTTTGCGCCCTGTGCGCGTAGCGTTAGCGCAGATGGGGAGAATTGCGCTAACGCTACGCTAAACATTAGCGCATTGTTTTGCCCCGTGCGCGTAGCGTTAGCGCTGAAAATGAAAAAAGCGCTAACGCTGCGCTACATTGTAGCAATTTTTCCCTACACTACGCTACGCTAACGCTACAGTTAGCGTAGCTGGCCCACCGTTGTGTGTAGCGTCAGCTCCGCGTGCTTTCCGCATCAGCGCCGCGAGCATTCCGCATGCCCCCAAACAAACCGGCCAAAGCTTTGGCCAAGGCGCGCTCCCGCCACCACACCGGGTGTAGTTCTTCCTTAACCAATGAGTAGAGCTTATTCATGCACCAGGCTGACATTTGTCGGAAATCTGATGTGTCTTTGTTGTCTTTGACCCATTCGTCCTTCATAATGTCTTCATAGCCCTTGGCGGTGATGACGTTCTCGAACCGAGTCTTCCATTCAGCCCAGTTGTTACGGTCAAGTTTTTTGAAAGAGAATCGCGATGATTTTCCATCATCTGAGCTGTCTGACGAGTTCCCCATGCTGACGAATTTCCTAAACTGTTTGTTATTCTAACTTTAGTCTTATAATGAATTATAGCCAAGTATTGACTCTTGCTACGATGTAGAAGTTTTGAGGTCAAATACTTTATTGCAGCGTATAATCAAATGCTAATAGTAGTAGATAACTGAGAACAAAAGAGAAGAGAAAAGAAATAGAATAAGCAAAGAAACAAGAAATAAAGAAAAGGAAAAAACAATACTTAAAGAGAGAAAGAATGAACTCAATAAGTACCTTTTGTTGTTCTTGTCCTAGCTACGACTCAATTAATAGACACGAGAAATGTTTATAGGAGATAAAATAATATAACAACAAGCCTGAAATAAGAAATAAAAGATCAATCAACTGGTTCAAAAAGAAATAATAGTGAGAGAAGAAAAGAAGAGAGATAAGGAGAATTGAGAGTCGGATATACCTCCACTTGAGTTATAGCCGTGCTCCTCCTGAATTTCTTTGGTCTAGACAAGTGTGAGGCGGTTCAAGAACGTACAGTTCGGGATTGATTGACGGTTGATTAAGGGAGTTTGTGTTTGACGGTGTGGAACTGCTCAGCAAGTGAGTAAAGAGCTTGGAGGGGATAAAATAGCTAATAAGACTATGAAATAGTAGAATTAGTATTGGTGTGTGGGTGAGACTGCCCTCCTGTCTAGCTTGCGGGATAGTTAGACTAAGAAAAATAAGAGTGTGGCTTATTTCTAAATTTATCTTAGTGTTGATACTACTGTTGTTGTTGCTTAAGAATACCTGTTTAGGAGGTAAGGAGTTTTATGGGGTTTTCGGAGTAATAAGGGTTTCTGTAGGGTTTCTCTGTTAAATCTGTTATAACTTCTCTCTGGTTCTCTGTTCTTATAAGTCTCTCTGGTTTCTCTGGGCTCTGATAAAAGGTACGCTGATTTCTCTAAATCTTAAAGAGGTGAGAATGGCTAAGCAATATTTCTGAATTACTTGTCTATGGCCAAAATTGAGGTAAGGGAAGTTCAGGGGCTCTAATAATCTCTGGATTTCTTTAATCAAGGGGTGATGAAAGCTAAGTAATATCTCTTATTACTATTCTGTAGCTAGCATGAGGAGGGAGAAAGGATAACATGAGCCAGAGGAGCCTCTATTTATAGACAAATGGTTCTGCAGTACATGGGTTTTTGGCCTGAACACAAGTTCGTCTGAGAAGGGTACTTCTAGAGTGGTTTTTACTACTCTGAGATGGCCTAATCTGATATGAATTAATCTCTAAGTGCCTTTCTAATACAAGAGGTTGTAAATCTACTATATGAGGCCTATTCTTAGATTAATTAATATGAGTATGGTATTCTTAGACTAATTAGTATAAGAGTTATTTTCTGGAACTAGTCTGTGAAGCACTTTCTAATCAGTAGCTTGTTTTACTAGTCTAAGATGAATGTATTATAGTTCTACAGATTATTTGTATAATTTTTATTCATGAGAAATTAAATATCTTAAGCCCAGTTTGTAAATTAATTAACTACAATTTAGCCCAGTAATATTTATGTGGTTTGTTTCCTAACCTATTCCCTTCCCTCTAGTATTCTAACTACTATGTATATGTAATAAGGTGTTTTTAATTATGGGCTATGGGTTTGATCAATCTCACCACAACGGTGTGCGATGATGGTGGTTCCGGATGCGATGAAGTTTTTCCAAACTGGGAGCATTGAGTTTGAACTTCTAGACAGCTTTACTTGATGCATATGGTTATGCAATGTCATCCGTATCCGTAGTACACCGCAGCATGTCAGGATCACTAGCTAACAATTACAACCAGCTCACATGAGAGCTATTCCAACAAGGCTTGTGAAAAAAAATATTTTTTAACCAGAAATAAAGATATAGGCAGTGTAAATCAAATTCTGGGAGGGTTATAAATCACAACAGGAATTTGTCCATGACAGACATGATAAATCAAGGGTTTACAGATGATTTAAAATCAAATCAAGAGCCTCATGAGCCTGGAAACAACAAAAAAGAGAATTTCACTGTTTTTCAAAAGGGCCTTAATAAAAAAAACACAGTTTTTGCTGCACGTAGCACACACGGATTCTGCATTTATGCGCTTTTTTAATCAATTTTTTTAGGGCCTTAATAAAAAAACATGGTTTTTTCACGTTTTGATACTCAATGGCCAAGAGGATTCCTCTTGGCCGTTGAGGTGTGTACACCTCCACCTCAACGGCTGAGGCGGTTTAGGGGGTAAACTCTTGGCCATTGAGAGTGTACCTCAGCGGCTGGGATTTTTTAGGGAGTCAACTCCCAAACCAGTCAAAGGTTTTGGGGGTTTGGATCCCATTTTTCGGGGAATCTGGGGCTTGGGAGTTGGCTCTCCAGTTTTTGGGAGTCGTTTAACCAAGCCCCTAAAAAATAAGGTGTAAAAAATTAAATACAAAAAATGCAAAAAACACATCCAAACACAGAATTGTGTGTGCTGCGCGCAGCAAAAACCATGTCAAAATGTGTATCAGTGATAGGCTGCTATGCCAAGTCAAGTGTGAAATAGATAAGTCTGATGGGTGACAAAAATATATTGAATTGTGGGTGCTAGCGCAATCCACAAGAACTGATCAAACAGTGAGCCCATGGCAACCAAGATATATATTCCTCTGTTTGACTTTGGTAACAAGGAAATGCACATCCAGGATGGAGGGAAAGAGATTGAAAACAAGATGAAAAAAGAACAAGAATCTTTGGTGTTGAAAACCAAAAAATCAGGTTCCATAATAGAGAAATCAAAAGATAATTTCAGGTAATGGTGGAGGTTGAATATTATAAGTTTCCTGCAGATTTATCAAAAAGAAGAATGGTTTCAACTTGAGTAAGTAGCAGGGTAGAGGAGGAGAGAGGAGATCTATAACGTACCTCTAAGAAATCGATGACAAAAGGAGGACTCGATAACATGTTGAAGAACTTCTTTTCTTCTTGACTCGAGAACCATGGGCCTAACATGTCAGCTAAATGCCGATGGAACAGCGGGAACATGAATCCATTTTGGGCCGACAGACTCAGAAAACGCTGGAGGACAAGACACCAAATCGAACGTAAGTGGTTATATTGTTTGAAGATCCATAGCTGATAAACGTAGGGGGGGGGGGGGAGAAGAAGATTTACTTGGATACCTGCAAGAGGGATCCGATCATACCCAGCAAACAGGGCCGTATTTTCCTGCAATCCTCGCGCACTCATCACCCCATGCACCTCACACATCTCACGGATCTTCCTCGCATCATCCAAGGAGAAGATGTCCCCTTTCGCAACCACCGGGACTCTTGTCTCATGCGAACTCGACCGGGCCTCTCAATTCGCAAACTTGATCGACTCTAAATTCACCGGATACGAGCTCGCTTGTCATCGTGTACGTCCTACCATCATTCACCCCTTTAAGCCTCATCTCTTTTCCTGCTTTTCTTTGCTTAGGCAATCTTGGGTACTCACCATGCACCGTGATCATCGAAACATTGGCTTGGATCGCAGTTTTGATCAGTTGAGAAGTGTTTCTTCAAAAAAAAAATCAGCGCTTCAAATGTTAGTCCAAATGTAGAAGGAAGAAAGTACTGATTACTCACCTCAAGTCGTCATCTATTCGAATCTTGATCGATACTGGGAAATCTTGGCCACACGAGACTTTGATAAAACGGACCAACTCACGGACCAAGTCAGGCTATCCACTTTTAGAAACATTCCATAATTTAGAAATGAGCATATATATATATCAAGACGGAAGAAGAAAAGCAGTAATACTAATGAGATGTTGTTCACCTTGCGCAGGAGGGCCGAGCCAATGCCTTCTTTGCATGCCCATTGTTGCGGACATCCGCAGTTGATATCGATCCCGTCTACGTACCTAGAAATTCCCTATTTCAAATCAATCAGTAAATAAACACGATTAGAAACCATGAGAAAAACGTACTTTTTGATCAATGCGGCAGCATGGCCCATGTAGAATGGATCATGGCCGCCGAATTGGGCGATCAGACTTCCTCACACCTTGCGTTTGGCAACTCGATGACTACCAGGGACGATAGGAGCCGAAGGAGGAGAAGAAGAAGAAGGAGACGGAGGTCGCGGTGGAGATTCTTGCATGATAAAGTTCGTCGGCGTTCGTCGAGAAATCCGAGTCCCTCGCTTTGGCCGATAAACAAAGCTCTTGCGCTCTATCGCCCTCTCTCCTCCACAGATCAGTCGTGTTTTTTTTTCTCGTGTAATGTTGATGAAGTGGATGATTTGGGAAATGCTCACAGGATCATCGGGGTGAAAGTGATGTGGGTCTCGTACTCGGAGACGAGCTGTCGAAATGGTAACTTAGAATATCGGACCATTGGAGCTACGCGCATCACCAAACGAAACAAGAAATCCGGGGGGAAATGTATCAGTAAGATCAATGATCTTTCGACGTGAGAGGAAGTTGAGCATACTGACCGCAAATATGGACGACCTCGAACTCGTTCAACATCTGTTGAGGGCTCAATATCTCGGCATCCTCCAGCGAGAGTCTGGATAGTCCGTCCTGCGTTTCGTCCGTGTCTGTGGTGGCCATTGCAGCAGGAATCTCGAGTTGGTTGGAGAGGGAAGCTCAGAAAAGATGAAGACGCATGCACCCAGGATCTGATCGGGAGGCCGGGGAGCCACGGTGGAGAGCTCGATCACCACCGCGCAAGATTGATCCCCCGAAGACAAGCTTGAAATACCCCGACTTACATAATGCATGAATGTTTCCGCCGATCAGGCTCCAAATCTCGGCGCGCTAACGGAAAGGCTCCTGGCGCGAATACGGTACCGATTGCTTTCTGCACGGACGAATAACAGCTCTCGCCTACATAAAACAAAGTCGCCCTCCAAGTCCGACCAGCCAAAAGAAACAAAAATCGGCATTTCTTCGTCTTCTCTCAGCTCCACTCCCCTCTCCTTCAGTTCCCCAATACACCTTGCATCGAAAGCCCACAAAAATATGGACCTCAAGGAGGCCCAAGCCGACACCAACGCGATTCGAACGCGCGCGGGTAAACCCACTTCCTTAGCAGGGAAGCGCCTTAACCACTCGGCCATAGTGTCTTGATAACATCACTGGAACCATTCCACAATTTCTTCTGTAGCTTGCCAAGAGATGTGTATCATGGGGCTAGGATGTTTGGAAATTTTATTGTTGATGGACCTGATCCTCAGAAAAAGGAAAATGGGTTGGATATGGGGTTTGAAAGAAAGAGCTGTGACTTGTGAGGAGAATGAAAAAAGGGGGTTGGAAAAACTACTCCCTAAAATTTGACAACAACTCCCATTTTGGTTGAGGGTTTGTTGGGCAGGAGTCATTCCTCCAAATTGATGGCCGGCTTTGGGAGTTGACCATCCAATTATATTTTAATTTTTTCAATTTTTAGGGAGTCGGCGCCCCAAACCACCCCTCATGCTTGAGGGGGCTTGGGAGTCGCTCCCATGACCAATTGATGAGAAAAAAAAAACCTCATTGGCTGGAAGGGATTCCTTTTGGTTGATGAGGCATGACATCCTCATCAATGGAAGGAATCCCTTCCGATCAATGATGTATAACAACCTCATTGACCAGAAGGAATTCCTTCCAATTGATGAGGATGTTAAATCTCATTGATCAGAAGGGATTCCTTCCAATCAATGTCCGTTCAAACATGGACACAGCTTGGTTGCTAGTTCTCTCTGCCGTGGATTCTCTGGCTCTGTTAACTTCCAATCCATTTACCCTCTTTGTCATGCTAGGATCCGGGCTGAATTGGAGGCCGGTGTGGCTCCCGTTCATACCATGTCTACCAATTTGCCTACATTGGTTCTTCAGTATTATCATTGGAATCTCCAATAATGCTGGCCTTGCAGTACACCTTCCATTGACCTTCTTGGAGCGTGTGATCTTTCAAGTGTTTTAAACTTATTTTTTTTCTTCCCGTGAATGGTTTTTAGATTTTAGGATTCAAGGACTCATTCTTGTCTTTACTCAAGTTGGTCTTGAAGGATTGTAAAACTGAACACTCTTATCTCTATATGTCAACGCTCCTCTATACGCTCTTGAGGGCTTTAATTGAATACTATCCTGAGGATAGTTGGTTCTTCAACCTGGGACAATTTAGGTAAATAAATGTCCTCATTGACCGGAAGGAATCCCTTCCATCTGATGAGGTTTTTGTTTCTTGTCAACCGGAAGGAAATGGTCATGGGAGTGACTCCCAAAACCCCTCAAGCATGAGGGGTGGTTTGTGTTGGAATGTCATTCCTTGTCTTAGCCCTTGAAAGAGGAGATTGTCAGGTAAGTTTATCAAACTAGTTTGATAAACTTCCTGAAAGCTAAATCATCATTGCGCTGATCATTGTTTTCTTGATCACGCACAGAATTGAGCTGTTCCACAAAAGAACAAGATCATGCCAAGCTTTTAGCTTGTGATTCAAGAGATCATTTCATGACATCATAAGCGCAAACAAGAATGATGATTGTGATCAATCATTGAGCTCTAAGTGAGTCTTGAATGATTAGATCACAAGAACAAGAGGATCAGAATTAAAAGAACAATTGTGGTTCTATTTCTTTTCTCTCAAAAATCATCTTCCAAATTTTCCTTAAGCTTACTCTTGTCAAAATCAACCTCAACCAAACTCATTGATTGTATATTTCCATTGATAAGCGGTAAGCAAGAAGTGTTAACTTCTTTAGCCTTTTTCTTCATGAGAAGAAAAAGAGAGAGACTAAGTAATAAATCAACTACTTTGATCAATGACGATATGTTAGATCCATCAAACAAACAGTATCATTAAAGTCTCTATTATAACAAGAGTTATTATCTCTATTCACAAAAGTAAAGTACTTTTCTTTAATCTTGACATCAAGCATAACAAGAAAAGATTCAGGAAGATAACTAACAATTAACGAATGCAACTAGTTATCTTTATTTCTTCAAAGCAAAGACAAAGCAACACAGTCGAATTATCTTTTCATTGTTATCAAAGCAGTATTATTATTAGTTGTAGCAGATTAAATATCTGCCCTCAGGTATTTCTTTATTATATTTTTATATAAAAGTTCATTGTATTTCATTAAAAGAATAAGATACTTATAAAGAAATAAATCTGCAGTTTCAAATTCTGTCAGATTTACAGTCTCGAAAGACTCTCGAAGGACCTTTGATCATAAACCTCGTTGTATTTGAACAATAATTGAAAGGCAGAATTTAATCTGACTTATCCACTATGGAGTCTTTTTCTCGCAAAGAGGCAATTGACGACAAGGGAATTGCATCAATTCCTAAGCTAATAGGCAATAACTATTCTATCTGGGAATCAAAGATGCAATACTTTCTCGATTCTTGACAGTTGCTTGACGTTTGTCTGCAAGAGCAAGCATTGCCTCCTACGGATCTTATTGCCGCAAAACATTCTTGTGCTCTCTTCCATCTCAGCTCTGTCGTCAATGACTCAATCTATAACTCAATTTTTAAATTATTCTCAAATATTGGAGGACTTCCCGTCGGATCTGGGAGCCTCGCAGTTTCCGATTTAGACCCAAAAAGTCTAGATTTTTGCAGGGAAATCTAGCTTTTTTGGCTCTAAATCGAAACTGGGAGCCCCGCAGATGTTGACGGGAAGTCATCCATTACTCCTTATAGCGTTTGGACGTCCTTAAAGAAGAAATATGCTTCTAAGACCATCTTCTCTTTATGTAAAGTCTGGCACACTTGGGACACGATTCACTGCAATCAAGGACTCATTTCTTATGTCAATTGTTGCTTAGAGTGTCTTGGAGAATTTAAAACAATCGGTTACGACGTCACGCAAGATGTTTTCGCCGTTTGTATTATCAGTCGAGTCACGACTATCAAGCAGGATCTTATGGAAGGCTTGATGTTAGACGAGGATCTAGTTTCTGATCCATTTTGTTTAATTGAGAGATTAAGAACTCTAGCTGTTCATGAAAAAACGATGAAATCTGATAAGCCATCAGTTGCTTCATCTTCTGCTTTACCAACGGATTCTCATGAAAAAAGACCTTATTGGCATCCTTGTGAAAATGGTCATGATCTGAAGGAGAAACATAGTCAGAAAAATTGTTGGTACAATAATCCGCACAAGAAACCAAAGCGCTTTCAGTCTAACTATCAATACGCTAAAGCCAACGCTACTCAAGCTTCTCAGTTGCACAATACCCAGACGCAATCTTCAAGCAGCAGCGGCAACAACGAGAATGCAGTTCCTGCATTCAGTTATTTTAGTTTTGTAAAATCTTCTCCAGTAGCTAAACTTGGTGCTATACTCGACTCAGGAGCTAGCAGTGATATGTTTAATTCTCTGGATTTCTTTATTTATAGCAAACCAGTCTTTATTTTTATAATTACTGGTGACGGCAAATCAAGAGAAGAACTCGTCGCTACTCATAAAGGAACAGTTTTAATTCAACTCGTTGATAATAAGGTTATTACACTCAGAAAGTTTGTTCCTAATCTTACACAAAATCTTGTGTCGTTATCTCAACTTATCGACAACAATATTTCAATTCAACGAGCTGGAAAATTCTTTGATTTTATTTCAAACAATCTAGAAAAATTATTCTCGCTTGATCTTTCTAATCAACTTTTTGAAATAAATGGCGACGTAGCTCCTGTTCATCAGTGTACCACAGCTATGACAAACGACACAAAAGAACCTACTGGATTCACCAAATGGCATAATTGACTTGGTCATGCGAGTAAGGATTGATTGAAGACTGTTATACCCACTGGCAAGAATCTAGTGAAAGAACATTGTTGCAATGCGTGTATGAAAGGCAAAATGACTTGAAAAAGCTTTAATCATCATTTCAATTCAACCTCAGCATCTCTTGAAGTGGTTCATGGCAATTTGGTTGGGCCTATTACTGCCTCATCAAATGGCGGCGCACGTTATTTCTTAACTTTGGTTGATCAGCACACTGGCTATATCAACATTATGATCTTGAAAGAGAAGAGTGAAGTGCCGAGCGCAATCGAAAAGTTCAGAATATTTTTCGAAAATCAAACCGGCAATCATATGAAGAAGCTTATAACAGACGGAGGAGGCGCATTCTGTAATAAAACTCTTGCTAGTTTCCTAGAATCAGCAGGAGTGCAGCATAATGTTTCGCCTCCGTATACGCCTCAACAAAACGGTATCGCTGAACAAGCTAATCGAACAATTCTCAATATGACTTGCTGAATTCTTTTGCACTCAAATTTGGCATCGGAGTGGTGGGCAGAAGCAGTCAAGAATTCTTGAACAATTATTAATTGTTTGCCATCTCTTTCAAAACTTCAAACTTCACCAAGCGAACTTCTATTCAAGAAGAAGCCAAATATCAATATCTTTTGTCCATTTGGTTGTAAGGTTTTGTCCTTAAAACCGGAGGTCCATCATGAACGAAAATTTGATTCTCTGGCTTGGGAAGACGTATTGATTGGATACGCAAACAATTATTTGACTTATAAGATAGTTTGACTTGATACTCTACCAATTATCAACGTCAAACACGTGTACTTCGAAGAGAATGTCTTTCCAGTTTGCCCAGCATTGCGGAAGAGCATCAACAATCTAGACACTTCAAATAATCTACCAATTTTTGAGAAAGCTTCACCTTTGCCATTTGAAGAAGATTCCTTGCCAATTGAAGAAGAGAATGATCGATCGCAAGAGCTGCTTGAAGAAGAAATTTTGTCAGAAAAGCAAATTGATGTTGACACTCATCAAGATTCAAGTAAGGTTGATGAATCAAACATCCTTAATTAATCAAGACAAACGGTGTTAGTTTCTTTGGCGCCGAAAACTCATAATCAAGCCATGAAAGGAGGGGAAACCGATGAATGGAAGAACACGGAAAAGAAGGAGTATGAGAACATGGATTGTACGTAAAAGAAAAGAAGATGACTCTCCGATTCCTCTAACGTGGGCCTTTTGTAAAAAGCTTGGTTCAAACAATGAGGTAGTCGAGTTTAAGGCTCAAATATGTGTTCAAGGATTTTGTCAATCTTTTGGATTGGATTATTTTGCCAAATACACTCCTACTGGAAAACCGTGCTCACTACGCCTTCTGATATCCTTTGCTATCAACAACAACTTGAAGATTCATCAGTTAGATGTTTGAAGTGCTTTTCTAACATGTCCTTTGGAAGATAAAGCTATGGTACTTCCACCACCAGATTACGTCGGAGAACCAGATATGGTCTTCGAATTACGGAAGGCAGTTTATGGTTTACGACAGGCTCCTCTTGTATGGTACAGTATCCTCCCAGATGTTTATGTCTGGGGGTGAACTGTCACAAGTTGACTTGCACCCGCGCACTAAACTGCAGTGCGCGGGTGCAAGTCAACCTCTTCATCGGCCAACAACTCATCAGACAACAACCTCACGATCTCGCGACAACTTCAATCAACCTGGAACAAACTCGGTCGATCTTGGCCTCAGGACGAATTCGATTGGAATCAGACATTAGTCTGTATTTCCACTCTTTTTTTTGTTTTTTCTTCTTTTTTTCTTTTTCTGATTTTTGCTTCGTTTTGATGGGACGCATACGCGGACAGCCCAACCTCACGACCGAGCAGAAGGCTCGCATTGCCGGCATGGTTGAAGCCGGGATGTCTCATGGGCGAGTCGCGAGGATAGTGGGCTCCGGACGAACAACGGTCTCTTCGATCGTTTCACGGGCTCGGACTCGTGGGACCGTCGAAACCGCCGAGAAGAGCGGCCGGCCTCGATTGAGTAGCGAGCGAGACTTGATGCAGCTGCAAGCCCTTGTCAAGTCAATGCCCAACCGAATGCGCCTGGTGGTGGAGGCCTCTGGTGGGCCGATCAAATATTGATATTTCCATTTTTATTTTTTTATTTCATAATCATTATCCCCCACCTCTCAGCTACCCTCCCCACTTGATTTTTTATTTTTAAAAAAAATATTAAAGAAAATAAAAAAGTTCAATGATGCTTTTATTTTTTTAAAATGTAATGCATTTTGCATTTTGTTTTTTTTGTTTCATATTCCTTTTTATCATCCCCCTATCCACCACTCCACAAAAACTCAGAATTTCAAGTGCGATAGATTTTTTTTAAAGAAAGTAATTGATGTGTCATAAACAATTGGGAGGATACTGTACAAGAGGCTGTCAAACTTCTTGAAGTCAATTAACTTCAAAATCTCTGTATCAGATCCTTGCGTTTACTGGAGAACGCAACAGCCTGGAAAACCGATGACCTGGATATATGCGCACATGGATGACCTTGTCATCATCAGCTCGGATCCTCTAGTATTCAAAGAAGAGATAGAAAAAGAATTTGCAATCAAGTATTTAGGGGATGCAGAATTTCTACTTGGAATGAATATTACTAGAATGAATGGAGTGGTAAAAATAAATCAACTGCAGTATATTGAAAGAAAGTTAGCACAATTTGGTCTGCAAGATGCTCATCCAGCATCATGTCCTCTCAATCCATGTATTCAATTTGATAAAGCTACTCAAGATGATCAAGAAGCTTTGAAACAACTTGATTTAAATTATCGATCAATAGTCGGTTCTCTCAACTATCTTAGCATATTGACTCAACCAGACATTTCATATGCTGTTAGTGCTTTATCACAATTCTTGGAAAAACCGGGTTTGTCACATTATTGAGCAGCTGAGCAAGTTTTCCGGTATATTTCTGGTACTCGTGAAATGGGATTAGTCTGGAGAATTCAAGTTTGAAAGCTTATGTTGACGCGGACTGGGGGAATTTTTTGATAACTCGTCAATCAGTTACGGGTTACGTCGCGATGGCAGGACATCACTTACTCTCCTGGAAGTCAAATAAACAAGATACGGTTTCTTTATCTTCTGCCAAAGCAGAATATAAGGCATTGTCTGACTTGAGCAGGGAGATGGTCTGGATAACTAGTTTGGTTAATGAAACTCAGGTTCTAAAAGCTCCGTCCGATATTCAAGTTTTTGTTGATAATAAAGCGGCTATCGACCTGGCGAATAGCGAAACAGCTCAGAATGGTTTTCGGACAAAGCATATGAGCATTTGACTACACTTTGTTTGAGAACACATTAAATCTCAATTATTGAAATTGATATATATCAAATCAAATGAGAATCCGGCCGACTTTCTAACTAGAGCTGTTGGACGATGTACCATCAGAAGATCTCTAAAGGCTCTGGGAACTGCATATCAATCCAATGTATCATTTGGCCGGAATGGTTGGTACCTGATTTGCAGGAAGAAATGTGTTGAGTATGGGGTTTGAAAGAATAGTTGTGGGTGTATCAGTAAAAAACACACACAAAAAATTGAAAGCAAACAATGTAGGAGGAGAAGTTCATTAAGTGTAGAGTGAATTGAGCAGAAGAGAAAAAAGAGTCCCTGCTCCCAAGTAGACGCAAGAAGAGACATTTGATGATCAGGGACCTATGTACATCATTTTTCCAGGGAGGGTCACACTGTCAGCCCAAGAGGTTTTTGGGAAGGAGCTTGTTATTTGAACTTGGAATTGGGGTAGTAAAAGAGAGAGAAATGTATAGAGGAAAGAATGTGGTGGTCAAAGATTGATCATCAACAGCTTGGAGACACCATCTTGTTAACCACATTCACAGCTCCAGTGTCTGGAGTTCCAAAATCACCTAATATGTAGACCAGATTTGTTTTTCTTTCAAATAAAGAATGTTGTTGAAGCAACCAACATATCTAGCTCTTTGCAAACTCAACAAGTTGGTATAAACATAAACAAAAAAAGGAAAATATATTTCAGAGTAAGTAATTCAAAGGATCTATACATAAAAATACATCACCCATGAATTCATATGTATATACAAGCAACAATGTAACTGATGCAATGCATGCATAGGTATCACATCATATTGGTCCTTTATCGCATCACATTGCGAGAGCGATGCGGGGCTCCGCATTGCATTGCTTGCATCGGATTCTTTGATACAGTGTATCAGTATTGCATCGGCAAAGCGATGTGATGTGATGCATTATAATTTGGTGGCATCGGTTTGCATCGCTTTCCAATACGATGCCAATGCAATGCATCACTTTTTCAATGCAATGCCAATGCAATGCATCACTTTTTTGATGTGATACCGATACATGGCTATTTATTGCATCACATCGCATCGTTTCACCGTTGATACAAGTAATCACCATATATAAAAGTCTTACTAATGTATGATATATTATTATTCAAACGTGCATTGCTACTCTACGCTACAATATCTAGACATTTGGGTAGCATAACCAATTCTATTACATTACACATATCTAGTATCAAGACATCAAGACAAGAAACAACATCAACAACTCAATCAATTCTTTGGACAACAAGATCAATCCTCAACAATTATACAACCATCTTTGAACATAATCCATTATCACCAACCAAACTGCCAAGCTTACCTTGGTGGTCTTGTTTTCTGATAATATAGAAAGGCAGAGTTTGCAGCTCATTTATCCCTTTCTCCATTCGGCAAAAAGGATCTTACAATCACTCTTTGAGTCTTACAACGGCCGACTGCGGACTGGGGTTTAGCGTATACTGCGGAGGGGCTACAAAGGAGCGGGGGGAACCAAGAGGCGGAAGCGGGGTTCAGAGCTGACCAGAGGTGGAAGCGGCAGTGGGAGACCTATCCAAAGGGCGGCCAGAGGAGTACACTGACTGACAGGCATTGGAGGGGTGACGAGCGGAGTGCAAGGGAGTGACAGCGGAGGACAGCATGGGAAGCAGGAGGAAACTTGAGCGTGGGATACCTACAAGACCATCAAGCAAGTTACCCCAGACAACAAACCGGAGTAAGACGTGTTGCAGAGCGGAGAAGTGCAAGAAATCTCCGAGGGTGCGCCTTGCTTTCCACAGTGGATGCGGATATCTGGCTGTTTTTTTCCGGCAAAATGGCCATCCGCATCCGCATCCGCACCTCCTGGCGGGTATCCGTTGTGGTGTTCTAAACGGTACAGGCCCCCTCAAGGTCAAATTTCAAATTATCAATATCCTCAAGACTCAAGATTTCAATATTATCACCTCAAATCCCCACTCAGTCCAATGGTTTCCTCATTTTATTAGTTTATTCCATTTCCTCTTATTATTTATCTTCATATCCTTTTTCATTCATCTTGATTTTATTTTTATTTTATCATTTTATCATTTTTTATTATCTTTTTCAAATCACCTACTCAGCAGACAGTCTTGTTTAATTTTCTTGGTCCTAAGACATCTTAGTATGTTGGTTTATTTCACTCTTGATTATTTTGTTTTGTTTTGTTTTGTTTTTTTTTGTTCTGTTCTGTGTTGTGTGGGTTGTGTTGTGTTGTGTAGTGTAGTGTTGTGTAGTGTTGTGTAGTGTGGTCTTGTTTTTCTTTTTTGGTTGAGTTGTGTTGTAGTTAGGGATGTGATGACATGTCTGTGACATGTCACTCCCCAGAGTCAAAGTTCAGTTTGAACTGAGAGGATGGGGAGGCATGGCATTCTGTTCTGATCCAAGAAAGACCCATCAAACCTTGTTGAAATCTTATTGATCCTGATCTTCTGAGCTATTCTGATCTCAAACCTTCTTACCCCACATTCCATTCAGATCCTCAAACTCAAATTATACAACCGCCTGCAGAACTCAATTCTGCTGTCTTCTCAACAAATCCAACCTCACCTTTCCTGTTTTGATCACATCTCTCATCCGGACCTACAACGAGGGCAGCTTCTCAGCACCTTCCCCTCAACCAACTGCCACCGGCCAGCACCGTTGGAGTTCCACACCGTCGGCCACAGCGGGTATCCAAGCAGGTATCCAAGCGGCTATCCATGGATACCCGCCCTTGAAAGGGGCGGAGAGGGACCAGCTGGAAGGGTTTCCTTCCAGCCGCATGTACCTCGATGGCTGGAAGGATTTCCTTCCAGCCGTCGAGGTACATGTACCTTGTCAACTGGAAGGGTTTCCTTCCAGCCGTTGAGGTACATGTACCTTGTCAACTGGAAGGGTTTCCTTCCAGCCGTCAAGGTACATGTACCTTGTCAACTGGAAGGATTTCCTTCCAGCTGTCGAGGTACATGTACCTTGTCAACTGGAAGGGTTTCCTTCCAGCCGTCAAGGTACATGTACCTTGTCAACTGGAAGGATTTCCTTCCAGCTGTCGAGGTACATGTACCTTGTCGACTGGAAGGATTTCCTTCCAGCTGTCGAGGTACAAATGGCGGGTATCGGCCAGCGGATAGCAGGTATCTGCAACGGATACCCGTTGACCATCTAACAAATTTTAAGCTTTGCAGCAGGCCATGTGGCTGCTGGTTTAGGGTAAATGGGTTTATGACAAATGCCAATCATGAACCCCGCTAATCAACAAAACTCATTCAAGTGTGTATGTACCCAGGTGCTTGGGTAGAAAGAAGCTTACCTGTTTTGAGGGAAACAATGACCATTGTCCCTGCAAAGATTCTTGCATATTGCTTTCCACCAGAAGATGTTACCTGATTAGATGTCCAATAACAAGTTGAAGTTGTGACAATGATTCTTCTACTCTAGCCCCACCTGGCCATCCTTCTTCCATCTTATGTTATAGGTGTTTGGAATGCTGGGAGTTGCATCCCCAACACGACCCTCAAACTCTTCACAAAAATAACCAATGAAATCCTGATATTTTCTACCTTCATGACTGGTATAAGGTCGATCTAGGAATAAGGGCCATGGGTGCAGGAAAGGACGAACCCCGATGTTTTGGTAAACCCAATCAAGGGTCGAGGGCTTGTTCGTGTGGGCCTGGGCCGGCCCAAGCCCGCTTTGACGCACCAAGAGGAAAGATGCCCTTTTTAAACCTTGGTTGATCATCATCATCATCTTCATCATCATCAACAGGACAATTGACAACACATTGGAGCACTCGGAAGATGACCACTCGATCGGCCACACACGCTGGCTCATGGTATCCAGCATCCAGTCAGTCTGCTTATGGTTGGACACCATTCTTGGCCAGTATGTAGCTGAAACGTCAACCTGATCTGCACCTTCCAGAGACTCGGTTGGAGGACGACCTGAAGGGCTGGTTGAGCGATGCCCACGCCAACGAACAGCCGGTCAATCACGCCCAGGCTTGGAAATCGGTTTGCATGCCCGTCCCGATCAAAGACTGTCGAGCTATCATTGCCCCGTAAGTGGAACGTCAGCCTTCGACTTAATGATCGGCTTTTGACCATGGTCATTGGTTGATGTCGTCATCTGTATCCCATTCATCGACAGACACGCTGGTTACAGCTACTCCGGACGAGCCGCTGCTTGGGCTTACAAGCTCATCGATACAGATCAAATGTGAGCGCTTCATTTTAGCTTGGGTATTGTGGCCTTTCTGAACTACTCTCGGCTCCTTGGTGGCATAAGAAAACGGGTCTTCATCCTTGGTCCTTCGCATCACGTCTATCTGGACTGCTGTGCGCTGTCGAAATGCACCCAATACGCAACCCCACTAGGCGATCTACCGATCGATACTTCCAGTTCAGTCACTTGATATCTTGCTTCCCAAAACTCGATCGTCCCTTTTTTACTCTTCTGTTGGGCTGGAGCTTACAGATTATTCATGGATTAATTAAATGGTATGATGAACAGTTAACGAAGAGTTAAAAGCCAAGAACCGGTTTGGTGAAATGAGTCTTCAGACGGACCAGGAAGAACACAGCATAGAACTGCATCTCCCGTACATCCGGCACATCTTCAAAAAGTAGAGTCGGATTCTAGTTTTTCTTTATATCATGCTGTATGGGGGGGGATGAACAATAGCTAACCATGAGCTGGCTAGCATTTGCTTGGACATCTTCCTAGCCACGACATCAAGATCGTTCCGATCTTAGTAGGCTCGATCACGTTTGCAGAAGAGCTCGAATACGGTGCTCTATTGGCACCTTACCTAGCCGATCCGGAGAACCTATTTGTGGTTTCCAGCGACTTTTGTCATTGGTAATTCAAAATCCTCATCACCTATCCACTGCAGATGATGATCGATAATCACTTAAAAAAAGATGTGTTTATTTTTGTCAAACAGGGGGACACGATTTTCATATACCTATTACCAAGATCCACGTTCGACTGAGCCGGCCAAACGACTGAGTCCAGGCTCTCCACCGCCGGAATATCCGATCCACCAGTCGATCGAGAATCTCGACAAAGAGGCCATCGAAGCCATTTCTCTTCAGGACCCCAGCCAGGCTCATGAGACATTCAAAGGGTATCTCAAACGGACAAAAAACACGATCTGTGGTCGCCATCCGATCGGCGTCCTCTTAGGCTCCATGATCAAGCTTCAGCAGACCCGCTCGACTCCTCCTCCGCCTCAACAACAGTTACAGCTTGTTCGCTATGAACAGTCTAGTCAATGTTTCACTCTCAGTGATAGTAGTGTCAGCTACGTCAGTGCTTTTTTAAGACTCCCAGCTTGACTTCGCTTCTCTCTTTTCTTTTTTCAAAGAAAGAAAAAAAAACATGCTTTTTTTATGTGATGTCTCTTTGCTTGATCGTTTATGTTGTACGGCGGACACTCCACAAGCCCCATGTAATATTGATAAATTATTATATATTGTTCCTGCTACCTAACTTATCTTCCTGTCAACTTCTAATGAAAACCCTCGGACAATCAGTTTACATGTATAAACCTGTCCAATCAAATTGATGCGACACTCGTCCTCCACTGTTGGAAACCATGATCGAGCAGCTTGTGTTCCAATCCTCAATGCTCATCAACCCAAGAAAAGACATGGATTTGATTTCTGTTTGATCGTTTTTCACTAATCTGATTGAAACATCAGAAGATTGTTTTTTTTTTTTTTCATGTTTACATGGACGTCAAGGACTAATGAGAAATTGTCTATGCCAAACAAAAAAAGGATCGAAGTTTTGGAGTTTGTTTCATCAGGAAGTGAGGACTATTCAATCAACAGGAAAATAGGAAAAATTAAAAGTACATTATAAGTATTACAGATATTTAGATCAAGTGACGATGATTTATGAGAGAAAAAAAAAAATCAAAGGACAACATGTGCATATATGTGAGTTTGAATTTGAAACATGAGTTTTTTTTATTGGTGTATTGATTTTTGTTTTTTCAAGCTGACAGATGAAGATAATCATAAACAATGGATGATTGGAATACATGATTCATGAGAAATTGAAGGGAAACTGCAAGGAATTCTTCGGTTTGTGAAGTTTTGATTTAATCAAGAAGAGGGAGAGATTGACACGGCTTAAGATAGATCTGAAGTGTTTTGATTTTTGGGTGGATGTTGAATTGGTATAGAGAATGTTCTGTCTATGTATTTCTTTTTTTTTATTAAAAAAAAGGAAGATGTTTATGTTTATCAAGAGTTTGGTTTGTGATGTGTTTTGAGTTGGTCGTTGAAGGTGGTCATGGCTTGATAGTCATCTTGAGTGTTGACTTTGATTGAGTTGGTAGAGGTGACATAAGATGGAGGGGAAGGGATCTGAGAGACGGAGTGAGATGGGGTGGGACTTAGGGAGGTAGGCGTGAGAGCGGGTGTGTTCTGATTGGAGAGATTAATCCTGATAGAGGACTCCATCTTCTGAGTGATCGATTGAGAGAGTGCGGGCGAGACGCGGGTGTTGAGGCTGATCAAGAAGATCAATTGGACGTGGGGGCCGAGGGAGTTGATGAGGGGCTCTAGTTCGGCGAGGGTGTGATGGTTGAGATGGTTGGAATGGCGTAGGTCGAGGAGGAGGATCGAGAGTCGGTTGAGGGAGAGGGCCTGTTGTTGGAGCAGGAGCCCAGCTCTTGGCAGAGTGGTGATCCAGATCGGCGAGTCCACGGATCTTCTGGCGATCTCCAAGTCAGTACTCAGACATTCAGAATGGTTGATATCTTCCAAGTCGAGTGCTCCGATATCCGTTCCTAGTTGTTTGCATACCAGTGTATGTCGCTCGACTGAGTGAGTGTTCATACATAAGATTAAGACCATCGGCGAGGTCTGAGTTGGAGCTGGAGTGTGATCGTTTGAGGAGGAGGTTATGAGATAGCTGATCAGTGCGGCTTGGATTGCGGTGGTGGTATGACTATCTGGTGGTACGATGATCTCGAGATGGTCGGCTTTGAGGATCGACAGAATGATTCGTTTATGAATTTCCTCTGGGACGAGTCTGTTAATTCAGTAAATAGGTTTATGAGAAAAAAAAGTTTGCCTGATCTTCTCTTTGGAGTTGTAGGCCAAAGGAGGGGGGGACCTACGAAAGCTTTTCTAAGTTCTTGATGACCTGTTTATCCAGACCGAAGCCGTTCCAAGTCTTCGTGACTGCTTGTTTGAGAGGATTGTGATCGATCGAGGGTGATGGGATTGGATGGGTTCTCGTAACAGAAGTCATGATGACTGTTTGATGGTTGAGATTGGGTTGCTGTGACTGGTCACTGTGAGGGGGATGAGGTGAATGGGTCACCCGAGTCTACCACGGGGGGGAAGCAGACGGGGGAAAGTGATATCATAACCCACCACCACCAGAGACCAGTTGACCAACAACCAAACTCAAACCACAAGGACGATGGCAAACAAATCGATCGAAGACAGCAGCAGCAGCCAACGAACCATCCAGGCATGCTTCAGCCCAAGAATCGCACTATTCACCAGCGAGGAGATCGACCAGGAGATCTGCAACAAGAACCATCTCACCAACTTCGCCAGCCTGCTCCGTCCATTCGAATACATCGATCGAGGTCTGGCTTCTACTTCTCTAATCATTGACATCCTCATATATTAATTAATCATCATCCAATTTCCACCACAAACAGTCAGCGTCCGGGCATTCAAACTACTCCACCACCATCCTCGACTCCATCCGATTATCATTCATTCGAATCGTTCAGATCACTAAACCCAACAACAACAAAAACAAGCGAGACGCTTTAAAGAAAATCTGGGAGCAAACAATCTTCAGCCCAACCCTGAACTACATCAAACTGGATCCAAATCCATCAACACAGCCCATTCCCCTTCC